TCCCAGCACATCTCGCAGGCCGCTCTGACACTTGGGCTCACCAGTACAAGTCAGTGAATCGGGCGGGCGCGGTATCATGTCGACGTCGTCACCAGCAGACGCGATGCGATGAAGATACGATCGGCTCTTGCGGTGATTATGACAACGACGACGGCAAGGGCAATGACGGTCCCGATGCTGACCACGCCGATGACGATGGCGGTGTCTTCGCGTCAGCGAAAAAGATTTTGGGTGGATCTTGACATGCGCGCGAGGTCGACACGCGCGAATGGTCTGCATGGTACTGTTTGACAAAGATCGCTCCCCACCACCAGCACGCTGCCAGGGTTTTCAAATGAGTTCGACATGCGCGCGCGAAGGGCACGCTTGGTAGCATCTGGTGAACATGTTGAGAACCAATGGTTGTCATACGACTTCGAACATGCGCGCGCGTGCATGTTTGTTTGAAGATTTATATTGCGAAATCATATGAGCTTGTAATTGCTCGGACCACTCGATCCTGACACCCATACGAAACCCAAGGTTCATGATGAAAGGTTCTGGCATGCACGCGCGGCGGCGCGCGCGCGCGTGCACGTTGACCCGCTTTTTTGTCACGGCATTCGTGGAACCTGGCGATTTGGGATAAACGAGTGCGCGCGAAGAGAGATATTTGACAACCAAGAGACAATCGATAACCGTACCCCCTGGGATGACACAAACTCACATTCACGAAACAATGCTACAACAAAGCAAGCAAATGGGACCGCTAGCCCCAGAGGGGGTAGAACCGAATTCCTTGTTATATTGAAAATTCACTTGTTGAGCTTGAAATCGCCCTCTATTGCTTGAACAACCAACCATCTTACCCACCCACCCGCAACTGGGCCGGCACAGCGCACAAGACCGTAACTGCGATGCCCAATTGAGTTTACGAGCCAACCTCGACCAGCTAGGTGGAGCGCGGCCCCCGCTTTTGAGAAAAAGCCATTCCTGCAGGGCGCGCGATGGAGGAGCCGATGTGCATCACGGCAACAACGGCGGGAACGACGACGAGCCAAAGCGTCCTCGACGCCACCGCGGCCCAGGCAGCCGCATCGGCATTGCGCCCAAATACGTATATATGGTGCAACATACGTGGCGTAATCAATGTTAAACAATATGTGGTGTACGCCAGGTGGCGTGGTGCAAGCTGAGTGGCACAATGAATGTGGTGCATCCTGCGTGGTGCAAATATTTGTGAAGCAGATGCGTGGCGCAAGCTACATGGTGCAATATTTGTGGTGCGAACAACGTGAGGCAAACTACGTGGTGACACGTGGTGCGAACTATGTATAGTGTCCAGCCTACGTGGTGCAATCCATGTGGTGCGAGTCACTTTGACAACGTGAAGTTGTCAACTTTACTGTTCGCGCAACCATCCCAGCCTCCCACACACACACACAACTTGGCTTCCGTACCCCATTGCGAAGGCTGCTTGGTACTGGTTGGCGCACGTCTGCGGCCGCGCTTGCGCGCGCAAGCTCGCGCGCAGAGCAGCCAGCTAGCTTGGCACAACCGACGCGGCCGCGGTGGCGATGACCGATGGGGACCCCCCACCGCGTCTCACGGGCCGCGTTGGCGCGCGGGCACTTCAGTGCGGGCAGGTGATCAGGGCGGACGCGGTACCATGGTGACGTCGACAAAGGTGGAAACGAGAATAAGGGTAGCAGCGATAATGGTGACAGTCGTAACAATGACGGCTGCCAGGCCGATGCTGGTCACGCCGATGACGATGGTGCTGCCCATCTTTCGCTGACGGGAATGCCCCGCGTGGTGGTACCTGACACGGACCGCCCCCCCTCCCCCCAGCAAGCGGGCACAGGCGTTCGAATCCCACCAGCCCGCTGGGCGTAAGTGGTCTAACGGTCTACAGATATCGTTCCCTCCTCGTCCAAAACCCTCCATTCGGGGAGGGGCGCCCTCCCCCTTCCCTCCCTCATTTTTTGAGGGGGGGGGGGGGGGCGAGGAGGTAGCGCGTCCAATATGGCTCAACGTTGCCGCACGAGGGCTCCCGATGCTCCAGGCTGGCCTCTAAGATGGCCAGGATTGCTCGTTTTTGCTTCCACCGTGCCCCAAGCGGCCCCAAAGATCGCTCCACGGCTCTCGGGCCCCCCCCCCCCCTAGTCGCCCCCCCCCCTAAGAGGCCTCGAGGTAGGCCCAAGATGGCTGAACGGACGCCCAAGAGGCCCCCCAAACGGCCCCGCTAGCGCCTCAAGAGGCCCCCAAGAGGCGATGTTGCTTGATGGCCCCAGGAGGGGAGGCAAATCGAGGACCACCCGCTTTGATCGATGGCGTCCAAGATGGCCCCAGGAGGCCCTCCAGAAGTCCCAGGATCGCCCCAAAGGAGCCCCAAGAGCCCAAGAGGGCCCAAAGACCCCTCAGAAGAGCCCCAAGAGGACACCAAGACTCCCCGAAAGAGCCCTAAGAGGATCCCGAGACCCTCCAAAAAACCCCAAGAGGATCCCGAGGGAGCCCCAAG